GGGGGCAACTCGAGGTCAGGGCAGAGGGCTGGGGTGTGTGTGGAGGTGCAGGGCAGAAGGCTGGGTGTTGGGGGCAACTCGAGGTCAGGGCAGAGGGCTGGGGTGTGTGTGGAGGTGCAGGGCAGAAGGCTGGGTGTTGGGGGCAACTCGAGGTCAGGGCAGAGGGCTGGGGTGTGTGGGCGTGCAAGGCAGAAGGCTGGGTGTTGGGGGCAACTCGAGGTCAGGTCAGAGGACTGAGGGGTGTGTGGGGGGTGCAGGGCAGAGGGATGGGTGTGTGTTGGGGTGGGGAGGTGCAGGGCAGAAGGCTGGGGTGCTCGGCTCGTGGGGGTGCTCCCAGCCCCCTGCCCTGAGCGGCTCAAGGCAGGGGGCTGGGAGGGATATGCCCTGTTCCACCCCCCTCCCCCAGGCCCATCCCTACCTCTCTCTGCCTGCTCTACGGAGCAGCCAGCACGCTGCGCTCAACACTGCTCCTCTGGGAGGAGGAGGGGCTGAAATGCACCACGTTGTGTGAAGAAACGGGGAGCGGTGGGAGGGGGGGCTGAGTGGGGCGGGGGGCCGGGACCCCCTCCCCACCGCTCTCCCCTGCGGGGGCAGGAGGCAGAAGCTTGATCCTGTGGCAACCAAGCTTCCCCCTTCCCCATTTCTTCACACAGCATGGTGCATTCCGGCCCCTCCGCCCCTCCTCCGACTCTTCTAAGTGGGCAGCAGCGTGCCACTCAGAATCGGCTCGCATGCCGTGTTTGGCATGCATGCAGTAGGTTGCCGACCCCTGACCTAGACCAACCCCAACATGTGTTTGACTAATCTATTCATAAAAACCTCCAATGATGGGGATTTTGCAACCTCTCTAGGTAACCTGTTCCAGTACTTAACTATCGTTATAGTTAGAAAGTTTTCCTAATATTCAATCTAAATCTCTAAAATGGGGATAATAATATTTCCCTATCTCAAAAGGGAGTTGTGAAGATAAACTCATTAATGTTTATGAAGCGTACATACTACTGTGATATGTGCTATGGAAAATACATTAGACAATTGTTAATTATATATTCAGTGCAGGGTTTGGATGGTGTGCATTAAATAAGGCAGGAGGTCCTCACAACAAATGAAGATGATAAAGAAATGTTAAACAGTTGACTCAATCCTGCATATTAAATAAGGCAGAGTTCCTATGGAAAAAATAGCAAGTGATGATTTGATGAACGCTATATCATAATGCATAGGGACAACCTTAAATTTGGCATTTCCTGAATCATAGAATCATAGAATATCAGGATTGGAAGGGACCTCAGGAGGTCATCTAGTCCAACCCCCTGCTCAAAGCAGGACCAATTCCCAACTAAATCATCCCAGCCAGGGCTTTGTCAAGCCGGGCCTTAAAAACCTCCAAGGAAGGAGACTCTACCACCTCCCTAGGTAACGCATTCCAGTGCTTCACCACCCACCTAGTGAAATAGTGTTTCCTAATATCCAACCTAGACCTCCCCCACTG